CGATGCATACCGTATTTACTCGATTAATTCCCCCGAGGAATTATTTTTTCAACCCATCCGTGGCATGGGGAATTAATAGTGGGTGGGGAATTATTCGAGTTTTGAAATTTGAACGTGTATTAGGGTATTTGGGGTGGGGAATTATTTTTTCAACTCATCCCTGGCATGGGGAATTAATAGAGCACCTAGAGCAGAATTAACCGAGTAAATACGGTACATTACGAATATTTGCCGATTTTCCTTGCATATTTTGCCCAGCCCTAGCCATAATTATAGTTTGGCTTTGAGCAAATATTTAAAATAATAAATATATATGTCTACAAAACATTCACCTGAATCGATGAGAATGTCCTTCTTCCCTCCTACTACCCCACATTTTTAGTAAATAAATAGCAGCAGAAGTACATTAATAAATATAACCCATTCTTTAAAATAAATAATTTTTATCGAATAAATTTATGGTTTTTAATTTTTCTCTTTAGTTTTTTAAATTTAAATATACAAATAATTTGAAATAATGGCCAGATGCTCTAATTCTTTGGATGATATAAAGTTAAATGCAAAAGTAAAATCTCAACAAAACGAGCATACTGGGAAAACAAATCATTTTGGTACTGATTATTTAAATTTAATTTTGTTAAGTTTCTTCTATCTCCATATCCCTTTAACAATCCTTTGTTGATTTCCTAGTCTTTCTGGTAGTTACGGTTTTAATCTTTTTTGTGCTGAGTGAAAATTAATTCAAAATTAGTTTATCAAAAATTTCTCTAAAACATCATTTTATTTCTTATTAACATAAATCTAGGTCAAAATCAAAGTGTTTCTCCACTCATGCAACAAAAAAAATATCAACCATTACATAATGGTACCTCCATATTTCCCAGACGTTCAACAACTACAAACCTTTTTTGATCCTCTAAAAAATAGTAATATACCACCAGTTTTACATCAACTATCATTTGAAAATAGTGTAGCTTTAAATGATAATCAAAAAAATAATAATGGGTGGTTGATTGAGAGTTTTACTTTTCAAGTAAATTTATGAAAAATCAAAAATATTTCTAAATTTTAGAGTTTGAGTAGCAGTATTCAACTTAATCTTGATTTAAGGAAGAGTTCAACAATTGGAAAAGTAACTTTTTCTTTGTTCCTCTAAATTTTATTATCGAGATCTGGCTGTATTTTTTGAATAAAAATTAATTTTGGTTAATTTAGGAAGAAAAGAATAGAGTTGAAGCCATATTAGCTGCATTTAAAGTTATTGAAAGATGTCTAGATGATAATGTTTCTTTAAAGAAAGATGATAAAGATAAGGTTCAAACTCTAAAGAAGGAACTTCAACAAATGGGGGAGACTCCACAAGAGAAGGTATAATTGAACAAATTTTGAAAGGACTAACTAATTTGTCCACAAAATTTCTTCAATAAAATACTCGAATATTTTAATTAAATTAAAAGGATATTGCAGCACAAATTGAAGAATTAAAAATAAACCACAAAAATGATATTGAAAATTTGAGAAAAGAATTTGATGGAAGAATGAAGATTAAATGTTCAAATTGGGAATATAAATATGCAATGTTGCTTCGACAAACAAATTTAATAAATAAAACTGAAAGTGAAAAAATTAAAGAAGTATAAGTTTAAATTTAATTTAAATTAACATTTAAATTAAGAAATGTACTGAATTATTGGAATATTTTCGTTTAAACAATCCAAATCCGAATGAAGAAGAAAAATCAAAGGAATGTGTTTTGGCTAAAGAAATTTGTGATTCTATTGATAAAGGTGTAAAATTAAATGAGTAATTGCTACATAATTAATTTTTTTAGTTAATAGTTGGTTTGGTAATAAACTTCAAATAGAACTTGTAAACGAAGAAAATATAAAGTTGGTAGAGAAAATAAAAATATTAATTAATTTTTAATTAAAATAATTATTTTTAAAGGGAGAATGATAGCAATTCGGAAATTAATGATTTTGATTTTCTTCTAGACGATAAAAATGAGAAAGATGAGAATGATGTTAAAGAAGCTGAAAAAGAGTAAATTGAAGAAAATGTTTAAATGTAAACTATATTTAAGAAAGGGAATTTTTTTGGATCTAATTTGTATTTTTTGTAACGTTTATTCTGAGAGTTATCTCAATTTTTGTATTTGATATAACTATGTATGTATGTGTTACTCAACCTATTTTGGAACGGACTTTACTATATTTTAGAATTAATTTATAAAAAATAATTTTGATTATTTATCAAAGCCTATATATTGTTTTATAGGTACTAGAGAGCTGACTTTTTATCGTTCTAAACTAAAAGTTTTTTAAAGAAAAATCAAAAGAAAATTTTATGACAGAATTTTTAAAATAGGGAATCGCAAAAATAAATTAACAGTCATGACCTGATTAAAAAATGATGCAAATAAATTTATAAAAGATTAATCGAAATTCAATGAAAACCGATTCTTAAATATTTCTAGTCCAATAAAAGAAATTTTTGTTCTCGCCATCTCAGATTCTACTCTTTCCTTTTTCTGATTATAATATTAATTGGCCCATCATCACACTCTTCAATATAAAATGCAAATCTCACTCTTGGATTGTAAATATTGCCAATTTGGTATTTTGTATATTTTTCATAATAATATTTTTTATAAGTAATTTCAACTTTTTCTGCTCTTTTGCTTAATTCAAAACTTGTGAAATTAGAAAACTTTAAATTAATGGCAGGCAAAATTTTTGAGCAATTTTTAGTTGTTGTTATATACTAAAATTTAAATTTAGTTATATAAGTTTTTATTTTTAGTCGACTCACTTCTGATATAAGATCATGAAGATTTGTTAATTTGAGGCTTTTGAGACAAATTTTTGGTAATTTATGGCCTTTGTTTATCAGAATAATGAATAAAATATTTGTATGTTGCTCTGTAATGTCAACATTCTTTAAATCGATGGTAAGGGATTCAGAAATTGATAAATGACTTTGAGAAAATTTCAAAACATTTTTAAATGTTTCATTGTTAGCCCATATACGTGCATCTTGAATGTTAAATTGATGGGGAATTGTTTTGTCGTTATCAAATAAAATGTTGATCATTTCTGGATTGAATATACTGTTATAAAAATTAACATGTTCAAAAGAACATTTAAAAAGTTGCTCCAAACAACCTCGAAGATAAACCATTTCTTTAACTTTTTTTGGAATTTTTGGCAAATTTAGAAGATATGGTGTTTTTCTGTCCACTAAATAAAAATAGAATTATTAATAGCCAGGAAATCAGGAAATTAGTATATCAGATATCCAAGTTCATCCGAAATACATATGACTTGACCCTTCTCTTTTAAAAAGGGGAAAGGGAAAATTTGGGAGAAATAATAATAATAAGCCCTTCTTGTGGCCACTAATTTTATACGTGAAAATTGACAATGGTTTTGTTAAAATTTTTTCTGTTATTTAATTTTTAAGCCTTCTATATAATTTATTGTTGAAAAATAATTAAGTTTTTGAGAAAAAAGTTGGTGACGAACAAAATAAATTTATGTCGATAAATTCTTTTAATGTTTATAAATATCGCTAATTTAGTTGCCATCAACTCTAAAATTAGGGAGTTTAATTTTTAGATTATATTCGATATAAATCTGATACTATTTGTTGATGAATTATTAAATTTATTTTTCTATTTGATATTTTCCATTCTTTTATTTAAATCGATAAATGGAATAAATAAAATAAAAACCTGCATACATATGTATAAGCATTATGCAAGCTAATGTATTACTCACCATTTCTGAGCAATCTTTCGTCTTTTCATATGCTAAAATACAAAAAAAAATTAAACATTGAAGGCAGGGTGACCATCTCCAAACCACTAAAATAGGGCGCAGCCACTCAAAAATGTGGCAAAAATAGGGCAAAATTGGACAAAAATAGGGCAAAAAATAGGGCAATATTTTAAAAGCTTAAAATTAATTAAAATTTTAAATAAAAGGCTTTGTTTTCACCTTTTTTCACTTGTTTAAACTAAATTGAGCAAATTGGGATCATTAATAAAGAGATCATATGCATGAGTACAATAAAATCAGAATTAAGTTAAGTAATTTGGGAATTAAGTAATTTGGCCTTTGTTCGGCTTCTCTCACTAGTTTTCACATTCTTAACAACAAAAATGCTCTAAAAGTTGATTCAACAATATTTTTTAAGAAGTTGCTTTCATATCGAAAATAAGCCTACAATGCTGACACAAGCGTCCAAATGACTGAATAAAATCCCGCACTTAATCCTATGCATGCCAATCTATAATAATAAGCTAGTAATCTCGCCCATTCAGCGCCGCAGGCAAAAATTTTCAAAATTTTGGAAGGTTTAGAAGCCGGATTTCTTCATTTTTTAGCGCCGCAGGCGAAAATTTTGAGAATTATGGAGGCCAGGAAGTCAAAAATCCTTCATTTTTACCATTTTTTTTTACAAAATCCCAAAAAACTATATAAATATTACGAAATGGTAAAAATAGGGCAAAAATATGGCAAATGAAAAAATAGGGAAAAAATAGGGCGAAAAGTTCAAAAATAGGGCAAATGCCCTATAAATAGGGTAAAATGGTCACCCTGATTGAAGGATATTTTAAATTAAAATTTATGGTCCTCAAAGAAAATGTTTTATTATCTCGCAGTCAAAAATTTAAAAAAAGGTTAAAAAGTACGAGAAAATACCAAAAAATCCTACATTAAATATTCAAAGATTATTTAAAAATGCGACAAAAGAAATGCAAAGTAATTCCTCCCTAGCAAGTCATCCCTCAAAATGATTGACAAAATCACAAAAGTATAAATTGATTTGTTTGAAGATAGTTAAAAATAAATTGGCAGGCTTTAACAGCTAAAATTATGAAAATAAATTTTATTAAACAAAAATTAAATGAAATAGACAGAGAAAAACAAATTTTTAAAAACATTTATTTCTTCAATAAATCAAAATCATTCATTGTATCCATAACGAAAATTCTTCTACTCCATCTTTTTGATGTCAACATAATAGAATTCATGGCAAAAGGAGAATTTCACTTTTGGATTGTGAATATTGACAATTTCATATGTTGTAGTTGTTGAATTATCTAATTGATTAATTTTAACATTTGTTGCTCTCTCGCTTATTTTAGGAGATGGAAAAGTTAAATTATAGTTTAAGGAAATAAAGGACGCCATTTTTGAACAATCTCCAGAAGTAGCTATATACTAAAAATTTAAATTTATTTTTAATTTTCCGTGTATAAGTTACCTCAACAATATAATCATAAATCATTTGTACATTTATATATTTTTCTATACCTTCTGGAGAACAATCAAACATTACATAAACTCTTTCAAAATTGTCTCCTCCACTCGTTAAAATTTTAAATGAAACATCTTTAGATTTTTTCATGTCTTTAGACAAACGAAAATAAATTGTAAGGGTTCTCCCAACTAAATGGTTCAAAGCAAATTTAAATATATTTTCAATATTGTCATCCGTAACAGACAGACTAGAATGATGTGCATAAAATTTTTTAGCATTTCCAAATAATAGTTGAATCAATTCCGGATTGAATATAAAATCGTCAAACCAGCCATATTCAAAAGAACAGTTGAACAATTTATTTAAATAATAATAAACAATTTTTAAGTCGTCTTTGCTTCTAATAATTCTTGGTGGTTGTAGAAAATATTCAGTGCCGTAAACTGAAGATTATTTATGTTAAATGAAAATAAAAAACTATCTTAACGAAAAGTTGTTAAATAAGGATTGGGTCCATGTTTACCCGTTTTCTAGTAAAATTTGCTTTACTACCAGTGTTTGAAACTCAAAAAAACGTACTCTTGTAAAGCATATAGCTATTAATTTCCTAAGGCTGAGCAATAGGCGGCGTGGTGTAATGGCTAACATCTCAGTTCGGTCTACTGAAGATGCTGGTTCGCTCCCAGCCGCCGAATAACCTTCTGCACTAGCTAAAGGAGAGAAATAGCTATAGCCCAGCTGCTTCTCTCTTACTTGTGCACGAAGTGCGAGCAAAAAAACTAGGCAGCTACGAGAGTACGTGAAAAAAAGATGTTCGAATGCGAGAAATTACATAATATTCAGCAAATACAAATGGGTACGAGGCCAAAAATTTGAGTGAGGCGATACGAGAAAATTTCAATGTTTCATACACTGGCTACTATAGATTGAGATGATCAAAATATCAAATTATTAAACAACTTTTAACCTCTATTAGATAAGCAAATACCCATATTTTTATTTGAATCTGTATCAGGCAAATACAAAGAAATTGGTTTTTCTAATCCATTTTTGAACTAAAAAGGAAAGAAAATCTTTAAATTTTTAATTTATTTACTACCTTCTCTTCAAGTCTTTCATTCAATGGAAAATCAAAATTTTTATTTCTTGGCTTCAATAATTTATGAGGAATTACTTTGAATGTATCGATATCTCCCTTAAGAAAAAATATTTTGATTAAAATTAATTAAAAAACATTACAATATAAATTTTAAATAATTTTTTCCGAGCAAGTTTTTCCTCAAAATTATGAACAAAAGCATAAAAATATAAATTTGTTTGTTTAATTGAACGTAATTCTTTATAACTGAAGCATTTAAAAATATCAAGTATTGTTTCTGTAGGCAAAGAATAAAACATTTTTTGAAGAAAATTTAATACAAGCACTAGAAAATTAAATTTAAAAATTATTTAAAAATCTACACAGCTTGTTAGTTACTAAACATCAAAGTCTTAGTACTAACAAAAAAATAATCAAGATAAGACAGTAACTAAATAACTATGCTTAATCACGAAATAAATAATACAATAAAAATCTAGGAGGCAGAATAAGATATTATTGGAGAAAAAATAGAATAAAAGTTCAATAATACTGAGGCCAAGACTAAACTATAGAGGGCTTTTATACTAAAACAAATACCTTAAGACACGTCTCACTAGATGTTACAAGATATTAGCCCCAAGTTGGTATACTAAAACGAGTGACAACTGCATTTATTAAGATGATTTTTAAATATTTAAAAATAAATTGACAAACATTAGCCGGCTTAAATATGATGTAAATAAAATATGTAAAACAAATGATAATTTAATTGAGCGACAATGAAAAATAACAGAAATTAAAAAAAAATAATTTTTCAATAAATCAAAAATTTTATTTTATAAATGTATAGGTACTAGAGCTGTCCGAGACCAAAATTTTTCCAAGACTCAGGGAATTTATTCGTGTGGAAAATCAATAAAATAGGTTATTATTTCAGAGGATTTGGGTGGATTAACGGGATATTAGTGATATCAAAGGATTAAGAGGGATTGCCGTGGCATTTAGTGAATTATGAGGGATGTCGTGGGATTTTACGATTAGAACGCCAAGGTAAAGCCAAAATTTTGGCGATACCCAACGTTAGCCCCCCCCCCCATTTGAAATCGACCCCCTGGCTACGCCCTTGGATTAAGGAGGATATCGAGGTTTAAAGGGTAATTTAAGTGGATTATGAGGGATCAAAAGGAATAGTATGAAGTTGGGGGACCTGGGTGATTAGGTGATGGTGGGTGGCTGCTGATATCCATCCTCTATTTTATCCCTATCTTTTTGCGCGCATGTGAAAATTTGTACAATTTTGAAAGGCCAAGAAGCCAGAATTCTTCATTTTCCAGCGCCGCAGGCGAAAATTTTGGGAATTATAAAGGCCGAGAAGCCAAAAATCTTCCTTTTCCTGCGCCGCAGGCGAAAATTTTGAGGATTTTGGATGGCCAAGCACTAGGTCCAAAAAGGCCAAAAAACCAAGACCAAAAAATAAAACCAAGACAAGACAAACACCCCAAGACCAAGACCGAAAAAAACCAAGAAAAGTCTTGGTTCCAAGACCAAGAGTCTCGGACAGCTCTATTAGGTACATCCCAAAAATATTAAAATTAAAACAAATAATCAATTTTTTTAAAAGTTTATTTTTAAGCCTTGCTCAAAGGTCAACCAGCTAAGGATCAGTTGGTACTGAGTTCTAATTTCTTCCAATAAATGTTGGAAGATTTTCTGTACGCTTGATATCTTCTAAACGTATACTGATAAAGATACAAAAGGTAGCGTTTGTTTATTTGCTCCGTTAGCTTTAGTATAAAAGCCATTCTAGTATTTAATTTCGGTAGTTTAGTGTTATTCTGTTACTATTCTTGTATTTTATTTTGTCATATTTTTCCTTATATGTATTATTTATATCGTGTTAAAGCAGTTTGTTAGTTACTGTCTTACATATGTATCTCGTACATATGTATATTCTCTTGTTAGCACTAAGAATGGTGTTTAGTATCTAACAAACTGCATAGATTTTTAAATAATTTTAAAATTAATTTTTAGTGTTTTATCATCAAAAAATGTTTTATTCTTTACCAACAGAAACAAAACTTGATATTTTTAAATGTCTCAATTATCAAGAATTGTGTTCAATCAGTCAGACAAATATTTATTTCCGTGATTTTATTAATTATTTTGAGAGGAATCTTGCTCGGCAGAAATTATTTAAAATCTCAATTGTAACGTTAATTAATTAATTAATCTAATCTTTAAATAATTTTAAGGAGTATTTCGATCAATCCAAAAAATATCCTCATAAATTAATTAAACCTAAAGCTGAAAATCTTAACTTTCCATTGAATGATGAACAATTTGAAGGGAAGGTAATTTAAAATATTCCCTTTACTTTCAAAAATTTTTTAAATTTTTAGTTGAAAAATGGACTAGAAAAACCAATTTCTTTGTATTTGCCTGATCAATTTTTAGTCAACAATATTGATATTTGCTTAATTGAAGGTTAGATAATTTTTATGCGGACTGTAAAAAAGATATGTTTTTTTAGCTAAAAACAATGAAACCCCTTATCGTCTACAACTACCAACAATTATTAAAACCAAAGAAGACGTCACAATTATTTATTATTATTTAAATAAATTATTTAATTGTTGTTTTGAATATGGCTATTTTGAAGAATTTACATTCAATCCAGAAGCGATCGAATTATTATTTGGAAATGCTAAGCAAGTTTATATTCAAAAAGCTTGGCTGCTTATGGATTACTACAGTATTGAAAATAAATTTCAATTTATTTTGAATCATCTAATTGTCAGTGATTTACTTAGAATTAATTTTGATCGAAATATAGACACAACAGAATATACAGATATTTTATTTAAAATTTTAATGAGGGGAAACAAGTTTAATGAAGTTTGCTTAAAGGCCTGTAATTTGCAAAATCTTTTTGATATTATTACAAATGTAAGATTTATGGTTATTTCTGCATTATCTTTGTAGGAGTTCAGACATGATTACCTAAAAAGCTCACTGTATTTTTTTAAACCTGTTCTGACATAATATACACTTTTCAAACTTGCTAAATTATTATAGGATTAAATTGCTCAATTGCTAGCAGATTTTTCTGTTAAAAGCAATCCCAAAATTTTTGACTGAGAATTTTCTAAGGAATGGTTTAGGGCAAGCGTCCCTTGAGCATTTATGCGCCCCAAAAATAGTATAAGCGCCCTATCAGTGTACATACGTCCCAAGAATAGAGTATATATAAGCTTTTCCTAAACTAGACCCGAATATTTTTGAAGAACTTGAGTAAATTATTTCTTACAATTTTAGCATATTGAAACGTCAAAAAATTGCTCAAAAATGGTGGCTAATATTGTATTAAATAATCTTATTATCAATTTTGCTAGTTTAAATGAAAGAGCTGAAAAAACTAAAAAATGTTTCCAACTTTCGAACATTTATGATCCAAAAATTAAATTCTCTATCTTATATAGTTCACATTTGAAAAAATTAACAATTAAACGCCTTTAATGTTCTTCTTTGCTAATTTATATGTATTAACTAGAGCCGCCCGGACCTTTATACTTTGACATTTCCGGAATTAATTATTTTCGCCTAATCTTTTTTATTATGAGTTCCAAATCAAAAAACCGATTTCTGGGCGGTTTCTAAAAGAATTAATTGACAAGATTATTTTATTTTACTTTTGCTTTTGTGATAAACATATTTTCTTCCTATTTTTCAAAAATGTGTTAAATAAAATTGGAGTCAACCCTCAATAAAATACAGATTACTCACAATTGGTAACCAGTGTTTATAGGCTCGTACCAAAATTCGTACTCGTACCTTGGCACGAAGTACGAATACGAGCAAAGCTGAAATTTATGAACACTGTTGGTAACTAACATTAAATTAGATAGTATTTATTTTAATATGGCTTGTCTAATTGAAGCACTTAGTAATTATTTTAACTATTTACATATTTCCGGAATGGATTAATGGGCGAATCTAGAAAACCAATTTTTCAAATAAACATCGCTTATACTTTAAAAATCGTTTAAATTTTTTGTTTCTTGATAATTATTAGTTTAAAAATTTTTTTAAATTTTTTTCCAATCTATTTGTTGAAATTTATTAAATTAAAAGTATTTTTTGCTAAACATTTTTTTCTGTTGGCATTCAACCATAGGATTAAATACAATCTTCTAAATTTCCCTCTATCATTTGAAAGTTAACATTTAATATAAAAAATTTTCGCCTTTGTGAGGCATTCACAACGCTCATCTGTGTAATTAGGCAATGAGAATGAATAAAGGAGAATTAAACTTATAAATTCAAAAATTTCTTTCCCAACTTTATTTGCCATTCAGTTACAATTTTAGCTGACTTTTTTACCTACTAGTTTTCGAATTTTTTGTTTTTATTTTTCATTTATTTAGCAAAATTTCATGAAATAATCGCATCCATACTGCCGTATTTTGAGTAGATAATTTACATCTCACTCCGACTAGGGACCATTAGCAATA